CAGTGATGATGTTATGTTTAGTTGATTTCAAGGTAATCCTTGTAAATCTTGTCTTTTTGTTGATGAAGTTGCAGGTTGTATTTTTAAATTTACCACTGATTGATCGTCTAGGGAATCAAACGAATTAGATGTTACAAGTGACGATAAAGCAATTATTGATGATGAAAAGTTTGGCATTCCACATTGTATACAATGCCAGGATATGTTTTTTTGTCATTTTTGAACAAGCACTATTAAAGTCAGACGGTTTCGCCTGCTTAAACGTAAATCAGTCAAAAGATTTCATCATTGTCTTATTGAATACCGAAAATGGAAACTTGACACTTTATATTATTTGTTATAGGCCATATCAAAAAAACAAATCCTTGATTTTTATACCAGTCAGTTTTACAGTTTTTTTCAATCATCGAACACAACTTTAGGTTATCAGTGACGCTATGCCACGAACTTGCATCAGCTATAAACAAAGGAGAAATTTCCAAAACATTTGTTCATGTCCACATAAAAGAATACTAAGACATAAACAAATAATACATATATTTCTGCTAACAAGATGAAAAAAAAAGGATAGGTAGGTAGGCAAATATTTTTTTCTCAAAAAGTAATTGACTGGTTGACGTTTTAACCAGTGAACCAGTCTGACTTTAAAAGTGCAGTATGACTTCAATGGTGCTTGTTAAAAAATGGCCAGAAAAATTTCAACCGTCCCAATTGTCAAAAAAGATGGATAAGAATCCACAGGAGCTTGGGTAAAGGATATGGATATTGAGTTCAATTTTCTGTTCTGCATACTACATACTTTAAAGAACTCCACTGACCACAGGAGCTTTCTCTGATTCTCCCTTAACGATGACTTGTTGGGCACGATCATATAAGAATGACTGGATCCAGTTGTGTACTTGTCCTTCAACTTCATCATGAATGTTACAGCTTCTTTGATTTTTTATTGAGAACATGCGATACATTTAAGGTCTTGTTTTTGAACAAACGATCAGCACTCATATGGAAATGAACATTCTGGCGTGGTAATTACTTAACAAATAAATAGCTTTGTACAAGACAGGATGAAAATGATCAGTCAAACAAATGTAGGACAATGAAAAGTCGTCTACATAAATGAAAATAAATTTTCAAACGGCAGAAATAAACCATACTATTAAAACTGAAAAAAATATATTCCTGAAGCATCCGTTGTGCAGATGGACCTAGTTCATATCATATGGGTTTTTTCTTCTGTTGAAGACCATATTATAACCTCTACATATCTTTTGTGTGTAACAGTAGGGCATAATTTTCCTTCTTGCACCTCTTGAAATGACCACTGTACCATGGGATATATTTTGTTAACTTTTTTGTATTGGTTATGACTGACTTCAAAGTATCGTTTGGAAAAGGAATCCATGATGTTAAAGGATTTTGATTTTGCGGACATTTTGGCAGATTCACCAGAAGCAAAAAGAACACCTTTAACAACAAAGCACAGCAAAATAGTGTACATATATATTTTATATGACATCTTAAACCAAAAGCGAATTTAAGTATTAAGGCTTCAAAGAACATGATCTATTTTAAGTTCTACTATTATAGCAATTGTTTTTTCTTAACCCAAATTTGAAAGACAAACATTAGATTTGATTGATAAAAACAATTATTAGGAAACAGGACATACTGACATCAATAAAAAGTTTCCTTAATCCCTTTAGTTACCATGCAATGACTAATTATTATTTCCAGTAGTTTGTGAGATTGAAATCCCAAGTCCATTTACCCCATATCCAGATTCTCTTCTTAATAAATATACACCATACGTAAATGAGGTCAAGGTCAGGTAAACCCACACAGTCCGACATGTACACCATACAATCGTTTGATGCACCAAATATAGTTGACCTATTGCTTAAAGTATCCGAGAAAATTACTTTACATGAAAAACTTAACATTTACCAATGAACCATGAAAATAAGGTCAAGGTCAGATGAACACTGCCAGACAGATATTTTTTGTTCACCAAATTTAGTTATCCTACTGCTTATATGAGGAAAGGTCCAAACATTGACCAATGACTTCATGAAAATGAGGTAAAGGTCGGAAGAAACCTGCCAGACTTTCATCTTACAATCCTTCCCATACACCAAATAAAGTTGACCTACTGCTTATAGTATCTGAGAAACAGACCAAATCATGCAACTTTAACCTTGATCAATGATCCATGAAATGAGGTCTAGGTCAGGAGAACCCTGTCTGACAAAATGCAGACCTTGCAACGATCCAATACATCAAATATTTTTATCCTTTCACTCATAATAAGTCTTTTTAAGTAGTTGCTGAACCGTGAAAATGAGATTAAAGACAATGGACATATTTCAAACAGATACTTCATAACATAAGACATCTACTAGTATTTACAAGGTATGAAGCATCCAAGTCTTCTACGTTCTGAAATATAAAGCAGCCTTCTACAAATATTTTACACTGCCACAGCTGTCGTATTATCAGCCAAAATTATGTCTGAGACAAAATACTATGTATCCATATTTTTCCTACTGTTTTTTCATCATACAATAAATTGGTTCGCCGAGGGCAGCTAGATACAACCGCAGAGGTCCAACCCTGAACAGTTAGGGCAAAAATGGACACAATATTCACGCTTGATACAGGTCTGAATTTGGATTGTAATTAAATATTTGACACATAATAGGTTTCTGACACAGAATAACTGTAGTCAAAGAACTTAGAATTGGTTATATGATTTGAATTTATAATTTATATTCAATTTTTTGATTTTGTGCAATACACTATGCTGTTGCGAATTGCAAATTTTTTTTTAGTCCCCCCCCCTCCCCCTTTTTTGCAAAAAAAAAAAATGTTTGAAGAAATTTTCTTTTTAATTTCTGAAATCTGAAATGAGAAAAAATTGTCCCCCTCCCCACAATTTCTTTTTTTAACCCCCCCCCATTTTTTTTCACCTCCCCCTCCCTCCAAAAAAAAAATCTTTCCCTCAAGATATGGTCATAATCTCAATTCAAATTTCCAATAGAGTTTGCAACCATAATTACCCATTTAAATACATCATAAAAGTCTTAAAATAGAAAATGACAATGACATACATAATCATCGCTAAAATTAATATTCCTTAATCAGCAGTTTTAAAAGTAACTTATAAACATAAATTGACAGCTAATCACCTCAAGACAATACAACATTTCTTTATACATAATTTAAAAGCAGTGTAAGGGAGGTAATCCAAACATAACATTGTACTTTTAAGTAATTGTCCATTAACCAGGAAACCCTTGTTTTTCCCCCTTTTTTGCCCCTAATTCCTAAATGGTTTGGGCCATAACCCCCCAAAGCCAATCCTAATCATCCCTTTGTGGTATGGAAACTTGTGGTCTAATTTCAGAGAGATCCATACACTTATCCACAAGTTATTGTCTGGAAACTAGAAAAATGCTTATTTGGGCCCCTTTTTGGCCCCTAATTCCTAAACTGGTAGGACCATAACCCCCAAAATCAATCCCTACCTTCCTTTTGTGGTTATAAACCTTGTGTTTAAATTTCATAGATTTCTATTCACATATACTAAAGTAATTGTCCGGAAACCAAATGTCTTCAGACGACGCGGACGATGACGTGATACCAATATATGACAGCAAAAATTTTGCGGTCATATAAAAATTAGAAGTCAATTTTTTACTTTTTTTGTGCCAGCTTTTTTTTCTTTAATGGGGTTATCAAGATCATAGACTTTCTTATCTGATGGGCACATCAACTTTATATTAAATATGATAAGCTAAATAGAGTTGAAATGTATCCATTAACTGAGAAACTTGCCAAATCACAATCATTTACGCCTATTGACTTTGGGTCAACTGGTATAACTCACTCAAAAATAAACAACTTGAGACTGGTCTATGGCCAATTTACCCCTAATGATTTTATTCTAAATTAAAACCAGGTTTGTTTTGAGATATAATTCATGTTTTGAAAATGAGACTGTTCTTATTTTCAACTGATGGAATACTGTGGTATTTTACTTCTTTATCTTGCAATCAGTCATTTTACTATACAAGTAAAATATGATATAAAATGATGTGATATGCAAAATTTTCCAAAATTTTCTCCTGGTATCCTGCTTTTTTTTTTTTTTAATGTGAGTGAACAGTCATATTCAAATTATCATTAACACCACAGTTCACTTTGCTGTTGATATAAATATCCAAGCAATAACAATTTCTTTGATCACCAAAGACAATGAATGAGAATGACAAGAAGGAAATGTATATTGCATGAAAATGTAACATTTATTTGTACTGGGTATCAACAAATGAAAGCTCAACCAGTCCTACTATTCTTAAGTTAATACAAATTAAAGAACAGAGTTCCAATGTCCCCTGCGTTGCACATATTTTATCTATCCAAGGTACAAGGGCAATAACTAAAAACAGCACTTTTTTTTGTTCTTTGAAACTTTTTATTAATATCTTAGAGAAATGAAGGCTTCAGAGCAAATGCAATGTGATTTCCATTATAATTAATATTTCCAAGGGCATAACTCGTTAAAAATATTTGATCAGAACTTATTTTCAAAACTGTCAAAGACATTGCTGATATTAACCTATGATATAAGTTTCTAAAACTCTGGCAAGAATTGAACATATGAGAGCGCTAACAATGCAATTTTGCATATAATCAATATTTCAAGGGGCATAACTCTTTAAAAAATATTTAATCAGCACTGATTTTTGAACTTGTCAAAGACATTGATGATATAAACCTATGATATAAGTTTAATAAAAATCTGGCAAGAATTGTATACATGAGAGCGATAACAAGACTTGACGAACGGACGGTATTTCTATGTCCCCCGCAACGCCTTGCGCTGGGGACAATATTTTTTTTATATTGAATGAACATTCTAGTATGTAAATCCAAGCAGAGAAACAGCCAATTCAAAACTACAGAAATCTGGACCAAACTGAGGCAGAATAAAGACAACCTTTAATCACTCTTAACAAGTTTACTTCAACAAAGATCAAACTTAAATGGTCAAATTAAAATAAAACAAGCTAAAAATTAATTGAAAATATGCTATTCTAGAACACAGTTAATGCCAAACATAATTTGTATTTTCTCGTTGCAGAGAAAAATATAATAAAAAAAAATAACATGTTGAAAGTAAGGCACATCAAATAAATTAATCATAAATTAAATGTTTTGTATCCACACATGAAAATTTGAGGGAAAACACATTGAATATTTTTTGGTAAATTCTAACATTTTAAATGTTTAATTACAGAACTAAGAAGTTTCATATACAATAAATAATATTAAGAAAATTATATGGTTTTTTGTTTAGTCCTTTAGACTGGTTTAATGCAAAACAAAGCATTTTACAGCTGAATGTGTGTACATCAAAATTAAAATAAATCAAATCAAAATATGAGATAGGTAAATGAATCATTGCATAAAAATTTATAAAGCTATACACACTGAAATCTGTCTTGCTTTGGCACGGTTACCATAAATAAAACTTTTTTTCAAAACAATTGTTAACCACTGAAAAATCTAAGAAAATCTAAGTGGATATGAAGAATGCTCAATTAAATAGATCTTTTATACACAAAAATCTGCATTTGACCACATAATACTGTGGATTCATTTATTTTAGGGGATACATAGTTTGACAAATCCTTCATTAAGTTGAGAGAAATTTTGTATTTTATTGAACACTTAAATTCATTGTTCTCATTTGCTCTTGAAAATTAGTGTATGATTGAATTATTGTTAGTTGCTTAACGTCCAGTGGCAAATATAATTAGTGTATGAGGAATGGCACTGAATCCACAGTATACTAATCCAACTGCAACAGTGATTAATTAAAATTTAATATGAAATATAACTATGGTTTAAGTCAAAGTTTTTAAAACAAATATATGCAATGATAGCTTACAAAACTCTGTACATGTACGTATATACACAAATGCCATTTATATCATTTTTTTGTGTTATATTCAATACACAGTTTACATGATCAAACAAACAAGCAGAACTCAACAACACACATTTTGTGTTTATAGAACTCGCCTACACACATTTTGGTTTATTATCAAGATTTATGTTTTTAACATAAAAAAATATTCATTCTCTCATTGTTCATCTCCAATCCTTTTAAACTCACAACTTTTGTTACTCAATTTGTGTTTTATTCATGGCCTTTGCAGATATGATTGAGAAATATAGCTCAATGTAACAGAGAAAATAAATTTTATTTTACTTGTTTTAATAAAAAATCCTTGTGAAAGTTCAGTATAAGTATCTCCAAATAGTGAAGTATTTCTTTATTATGTCTACAAAGTTTTAAGCTGCCCTTGCAAGTTTGAACTCAAAATATAACTTTTCTAAAAGAAAATGTCAAAGAGAGATCAAATTTTACAGGTCAACAAGCAATGTGAACATTGCAAAGTCTTTCAAATCCAATTTTCTAAAGTCTTAACAAAATCAGTCATTTCTGCACTCTTATTTTCATTCATACATATTGAGATCAAAATTTGCAGTGTACCAAACTGTATCCCTGTCTATCAAAAAGCAAGTGGAACCAGCATGGTGTAATGTGTAGGATCTGACAATCATTTTCACTTCATAAAAACATTACAAATTTATGGTAAAAATGGGATTGCAAAATATGGGATTATGCAATTAAAATTAAAAAAAAAATTATGTACATCAAAGCCATCAAAACATGCTCTTTCCATAACATTTGAAAAGGCAGGGAAACAGTTTGTCCTACCTAGCTGTTGTTTCCCTTTGCAAAAATTTGTCAACAATGGGAAAATGGACAATAACTAGTTAATTTTAGGCAACTAATCTAATAACTAGACTGCTGACAATTGAAAATAGTTGTAACCAATCTAAAAACAACTTATCTAATAATTAGACTGCTGACAATTGAAAATAGTTGTAACCAATCTAAAAACATAAGTACATACAATTATAAAGGAAATAGTTACAACAAATCAAACTAATCAACTTAAGACAACTGAAATAAGTGCAATTTTCAGTGTTCTTAAATCAGAAAAAAACACATTATGATTGCAAGTATAAAGCAAACTTTTAACTCTCCTACACTAAAAAAATTCAGTTATGGTCTAAACGTCATTAAACTTTCCATAGTTTAAGTTATACAGGCGAATTATTACTTTTCCTTAAAATATTAAAGAAAAAAAAAATTAACACTGCCTTTAATGAATATCTCATTAGACAGATGGAAAAATATTGTTTTACAAAATATAGGTATATTAAAAGACAAACTATTCTAAGAAAGATTAACTTCTACTAGACTAGATAATGTTCAAGTCAAGCACAAAAATTACATACATACATATCTACTACTGTCATCATTTACTTACAGCTAATCCACCAATTATCAATTTGACAAATTTTCTTTGGTATTACTAATTATGTGTTAGTGAACAAGGTCAAAACTAAAAAAACTACATAAATTTAATTGGAATACAGTACAATTAGAACATATAAGAAGTAATATAATACATCGATGTAGTTGTTGTTTTGTTCGACCTGTTTACTAACACACAATTAGTAATACTGAAAGACAATTTGTCAAATTGATAAAAAAAATCAACAAATTCTTATTCATCTATTATATATAACCTCAAGTGATAAAATGAAAAAAATATCAATTTACAGACTAAAAAGTTTAAACCAAAAAAATTATATCACAGCAAATATTAACGAGATGCACCTAAATAAAAATGTATACTTAAAAAAAAAAAAAATATAACACCAAGTACAACCAATACCAAAAAATTTCAAATGTTAAGAGGGAATCAATTTTCCGACAAGAAAATATAAACAGTATTTCACAACATCAATATTTGCTGGAACATACAAATATTTATTCCATGAAACAGAGCCAGTTTTATTTCCCTTTAACAAAATTTAGATTTTCTGAAACCTATTAAAAGAGATTTCCCCTAGCAAAACAGCTTACAAGGTTATCACATAAAAATCTTAAATAAAACTCATTAAGTTGATATACCTAAGTACATTGTCTATCATAATTTTATATTCTAAACATATTTAACATTAACTGTTCTGTGCATCCACAAACATTCCATTCTCTGTCTCGTCACTGGAGGTGTTAGAATTATCGTCTAGTATAGAGTATATCTTGATAACTTCTCCCATTCCCTTGGTTACACCTTGTCTAAACAAGAGCCGTGATCCTACGGTTATATGTTCTGGCTGTTTTATAAATTTAAATAGGACTTGCGCTTTCTCACTTGTCCTTATAGAATCCTGTAAAATTAAAACACAGTGTGAGCATGAATTTCAAAGTGAAGTCTACAAAGCTGGTGCTATTTTGAATTAATCTTCATCAGGAATGCTCAATGCAAAAGATACATACAACAAATGAGAAAATTGAAATAAAATTACAAGTAAGACAAATACACAATGTTTTACTCCTTGCTCAATAATCCTCCACTTCACTCCTGAGCAATGTATTAATACAGCTGGCTTCTATTTTTTTTTCAGAGCATCAAAGCAATGGTTTGGAGAAAAAAAATGTTGGTACCAAAAACAACAAATTAAAACTTTTATTTTTTTTTTTTTGTTTAATCTTGGTAAATTTTATTCAGATATTTCTTTTTTATCTTCATGTTGAGAAACTAATTTTATAATCTTATTATACCAAATGTCACTTTATATTTTGGCAAACAGTATTTAGGTATTTTATTTATATATATTTACAATGATACTGTTTAGCTTCTAAATATAGCTGTATGTTTGATCATCTTTCTTATTATCAGACATGTTGTCTGATAGATGATCATATCACATTGAATAATCTTGCATTAAATTATGAAATGAAATGTCTAGTTTACCTTTTGATATATCTTTTCTATTCTGCAGATCTGACAAACACTTCCAACGTATAATGTTGTCTCAAATCCTGTAGTTATTTGGTTTGTATGGAATAATAAGAAAACATCAGCCTGAAACTGGTAACATACTGATGGCTGTACTTCAGGACTTAATAGTACCATACCCTGTAGTATAAAGTATGTCAATAATTCATGCTGAACAAACAAGTTAAAAGATCATATATCAATAAATAACTTTTGAAATTATAATTTTTATTATCTAAAATCAGAAGAATTTTTAAGGTTCCTTTAAATGTAACTGTGTGTTACATAAAGAGATGTTATTTGGTGTTTTATGATATGAAGTTTTGTGAGACTGAAGCTATCCATCTACACAAAATGTCACTGATTTTTTTGTTTATTTGTTTATATTTAGATACAGTCAAACCACTTTTGTGCCAAAAAATCTGATGAGTCAGGGAATTTCTTAGTCCAGGTAGATTTTCAGTTAGATCAATGCAATTTAATCATTGATGAGTAGAAATCTCATACTGTATTTCATGCATTCCAAATTAATGATAACATACTCGACCTGGGATGAGTGAAAAACTTTCGTTGTTCCCTGTGACTTAACGAGGTTTTACTGTAGTTTGATTGCTTGCTTTCCTTAAGAACTTTATAAATCAATAATTAAATTTTGCATATATATAAGCATGTCGAAGATCTTTTGGCTCATTGGAAACATTCTGTCTATAGCTGTATGGAAATTCCTGTTATTAGCATAGTCAAGGATTAAAAGATATTTTACACAGAAATGTTGTAAAGGTAGTTGAGGTGTCGATGTAGAAATTATATATCTATACAAATTACCTTCCTGAGGTCTTCTCTTTTAACATTGTTCAAAGCAACAGTTGCTGTTTGTCCTGCCTGTATCAAGCGGCAAGGGAGTCGATTTCTATATACAGATTTCACATGAACTTTGGTAAATGATCCATCTTCTAATGGTCCTAATTGTAAAGCTTCCCCTTCTTTTATGGAACCCCTATAATAATAGACATATGTACCTTAATTACTACTATAATTGGTAATATTAATGAAATAAGCAACAAAAATGATTAAATTCTTACAATCACACTTTCAAAATAAGACAAACTTTTAGTAAATTTATATATATACACAATTATTTAGTAATTCTTCAACCCAGCAACTCTCCCATATGGTACAAAGTTCATTACAATTTGTCAAATTTTTTGGATAATATGAAAGAGCTTGCTAAGAGATTTGTTGTATCAGTGAAGCAATCACTTGATTAGTTTAGGTGCTGTTGGGTTGTTGTGACTTATTATTTGTGAAAGTTTTGATAAATAGAATACAAGGAAGTCAGTATCTTACACTTTTGTTTATACTTTTAAATATATCCAACAAAGCTATACCAAATTCTTACCTGTGTATAGTACCACCAACAACAGTTCCAACCCCTGGTACTGAGAATAAACAGTCAATCTGCAAACAATAAAAGATCAGTCAGAACAAACTTTCACAATAAAATACAAGTGAAATTACCTATACATTAGTACATACTGTGTTACAATCTTTACAAAAGCCTGACAGCAATAAATCAAAGTACTGAAGTACTGAACATTGGATGACCGCAAGTTCTTGTGGATGGTCACAAGCACTTGTCTCAGAAAAAAAAATCACATCTGTACATCTGAAAGTGAGGTAAATGTACAGAGATATATTTTTTTTTGAGACAAGTTCGTGCGTGGATAATGAATAAATGACGGGGAATTCAACGTCACCATAATAACTATTATATTGTAGTGATACAAATCAGTATACTCTGGTTTGTTGTTATATATTGTTTTAATGTTTGTATATAAAAGTTACATGTATAAAATATAATTTTTATCCATTTGTATATCATTCTATTTTACTATTCTAATAATAGTGCAGTGCAAGTGCATGGTGGACACTCTTCTGTAATAATCATAGGCGGATCCAGGGGGGCTTGGGGGGCCCGGGCCCCCCCTTTTGTGGGAAAAATTCGGTTGATTATATAGGGAATCACTGAAGCATGACTGGAGCGCCCTCCCCCCCCCCCCCTTATAAAAAGTTCTGGATCCACAACTGATAATATGATTTTTCTAATAGATTGGATTTGAGCAGGCATTCATATTTTCCCGCAAAATGTTCTTGAGATATTCTTCCGCATGCATTAACACAATTTTTCTGTACGTGTGCATAGATATTATCAATGATTTTTTTACTTATATATATATTTCTAACGACAAAAACATTTTCATATTATTAATTTATGTTCTAAACAAAAACATTTTATGAGTATTCATATAAGAAATGAATTTATAACAAGCGATAAGGAATGTTATTTTGCAGTTGATAATGTCCGCGTATTTATAGATCAGTTACCAGTCAAACACAAAAGTTACGTAATAGAAATCTCGTCGGCAACAATACATCAGAATGCCCTCACGGTCATCGCAATGTAAAAATTTTACTCCAATCACAACCTCATTTTAGCAACCCAATTCTTAGGTATTTATTAAGTTACAAATGGTAAGAATTGTCAATAGGATTTTTTTCTACCTTCTTACAAATCTATTTAAAACTCAATTGTCAGAGAATAGTTTCTTTTTATCTTTTTTCGTGTACCCAAGTCTTTCTCTTTAAGAAATGTTGAATCTTTAAATCTAACCAATCAATGTTTTCATACCACTAGTCAGAGGATGTCTTATTTGCCAAATAACAAATAATCTTTCAGAGCAAATGATCAATTTATTTTTTTCTAAATAAATAAATATTTGATGTGGTATAACTGAAAGAAAGATTTCTTTCACATGGCACCCTACTGGTAAATGATGCTATATTTTACTTTGAACAGAACTGTTATGGCTATTTCAATTTCAAGGCAAAGTGGTTTGACAACTCTTTGACCATAAAACAACAGAGCAAAAAAAAACCAACTGTGATTTGCAGTGTTCTCAGAAATTTCAAAAAAGCTTCCTAGTAATGAATTTTTTTTCAAAAGCATATAGTTTCTATAACCATAACCTTTGTGTTAAGCATAATTTATAATAAAACAATATTCAAAATCATTTCTGATATGATCAGAGTTGAAATTTTCAAGTTGCTAAACTGATATGAAAAGAACACTAATTTGCAGAAAAAATATTTAGACATGTGTACCTGATATTCTGTATGATGCTGTTTTAATTTTTCTCTTTCTTTGACATTTTTCATAGGTGGGAGAACGTTGAGGAATTTAGTCAGCAGATCTAAGTGTTTACCAGTTACACTGGAAACTGTAAATATTGGAGTGATTCTAAAAAGAAAATGTAATATCATAAAATTATTTAAAAGTAATATCATGATGATGAAAATAAATTTTCCAAATGTTAGATAAGTAGGGTAGAAATATAGATTCTAAGCTGAATAAACTGAAGGATATGAATTTTCTTTTAAAAAGGTAAAAAATAAATCCACTTATTGTTGAATGAAAGCTTAAAATAATTGAAAATTGTAAAATGTCTCTATTTGATTGGATGTGTTTTGAAAGAAATGAACATATATATCTTTGATCAATCTATTGAAAAAGTTTTTGTTATTTACAAATCTGGATACTTACGTGTCAGAATCAAAATTAGTAGCAGCAGTAATAGCGTCATCTTCTGATTTAATCCTTAAAGGAACTTTTTTACAACCAGGAGATTTCAATATTTTTTCCAGTTGACTGACTGTCCTTTCTAACACAAATCTTCTACATTTGTCTATTTTAGTTACGACTACAAATACTGGCACTTTTAAAGCTAATGTAAATCCTAAGTGTTCTTTGGTTGTACCAGCTGAAAAAATTTTAAATTGTATAGCGGCGTAATTATGTAATGGATATTTCTTAAATTACTCCATATTCAATTGTATTTGAAAATTTTAACTAAGTCGAAAACAAAACTTTATCAAATTATCATTTCATGGGTATATGAGGACCAAGAATTTCATTGTTCCACAATTTTTCCTCAATCCATCAAAATTTTAACCTTTAAAATACATAGATAAACCTCGTATTTTTACATTAATGATAGATAGTCTGACAGGTGGAGGAAACTGGAGTACATTGGTCATATGTAATTATTAATAATTGAATGTACAATGCCATTGATACAATTTAGACACAAGTCACTTATGGATCATTTAAAAGCATACTTGATAACAGATAAAATATTTCTTTTCTATATTCATGTTCACATGTAATGATTTTCATCTGCCTCACCAAGGGATATCAATATACAATACACTTATGAAATGAAACTGTTACAAAACAAGCATCTTTAAGTGTAATCGTACCTAGCCCAGTGTTTGCACTAACAACAAGCATGGCAAAATCTGGAGCATAACCAGTCAATCCAAAGATGGTGGTTTTGAGATATTTATGATGTCCAGCTAAGTCTATCAATGTAATAAGTTTGGTTGAGTTTTCACAAATTTCTTCCACTGTCCTTGACTCACTGTAGTTTATAATCTGAAATGAAGATTATAACAGTTAATCTAAATTTTCTAAACAAATAAAAAACTAAAGAGATGTGTTTGAGTACCTAAGAGTACATTACTTATAACTTAAATCAGACACTTCACCAAGGGTAATGATTAGGGAAATATAATAACTAGTGACTCTAAAGAGTCTGTTTCACTCACCTAGGTGTATGTGCATATTCAACAATGGACACTCTCCAACATTGTGGACCAGAATAGAATTCATGACAAAAATCTCTTTCTTGTTGATCTTGTATTGCAGATCATTTTATCTGTTTACAGTTTCTATCTATCTTCTTTATTTTTTGTCCAAAACACAAAAAGGGTAAAAGATTGTCATATAAGGGCAATCACTCCTATAAAGAGTCTACTAAAGTTTTTGGCAAAATGTGACTAATTTGTAGATCTTGTCTTGCTGATCATTTTTGCTATTTAAAGTGTCTATCAATCTTTTATAGTTTTCAAAATAAAAGGCAAAAATTGAAAAATAATGGTAAAAATTGTCATTAATGAGCAAGAACTCCAATAAGGAGTCAACTGAAGATTTTGGCTATGTTGACTTATTAGCAGATCTAAGTCTTGCTGATCATTTTTGCTGTTTAAAGTGGCTATCTATCTATAATAGTTTTCAAGATTATAACTGAGTGAAAACTGTAGGATTCAACCAACTTCAAACATGTTCTGTTGTAAGACCAAATGATACAGGGTCCTTACAACTTTGAATATTTAATGCTGTTGATCAACGTGATGCAGTCTAAATTCAGTTACAAATATTTCCCCTTATTAATTTGCATACAGCCTAAACTCTGCATTTTTTACAATTTACAGATTTTTTAGAACCTAATCAGAAAATGTGATTAAGTATTTAGAATTTAATATTTTTTCTCTCAATTTTAGAGGAAATCAATGTTATACATTACATCAATCAAATAGTTACCTCCCCTTTTCCATTAAATCCTAGAATCTCATGACTTATACTGGATGTCCTTCCAGACTGTATTTCATGTAAATGACGGAACAGATTTAATCTTGCTCTCCCTCTTCCATTGTCCAATTCTCCCTGAGTTAATACTCCAAGCAAAGTACTCTTTCCAGCATCTACATTTCCAAGAACTGCTAGTCTCAAATCAATAAACTATAAAAACAAATTCAAATAACTATAATGTATGTTGTAGCATTGAATACATGAATAAGCTGCAAAAATATATCCAATAGTATACAATTAATTTGTTGGTTAAAAAGCAATTCATATTTCAGAGAAAAATCACTCAACTGAATATTCATTTCCGCGATACTTTCTTTTTAGACTGAAATGTGTTTTTCTAAAATCAACATTATACCTGCTGGTCTTCTGGAACTTTTCTGACTAAAATTTCTAAAGCATGCCTTGGATTATCTCCCCCTTCTGCTTCTATTGTCCTTTCTCTCAATATTGAAGTTGAAGCACCTAACCTAAAATATATTCATAAATAAATTGAAATTAAAGTACATCAGCAGGGCTCACACTACTTCAGAATCATAGGGAGAAGTGACTTCTCTTTTTGAAACTAATAGGGAGAAGTAGTGAGATTTGAAAGAGAAGTGCTTGTTTGCTCGCTCACGGCGCTACAATGTTTTTTGATTTTTACTATAATAAAAAGGGCAATATGTATCCTATTTATCTATTTTTTATATTGTTCAATTGATACCTGAGTATACAATTAAAGTAAAAGTTGTTTCAGTTTATCATTTCTAGTTGCACAATTATATAGGTCCTCTTGTCAGAAACCACAAACTAAATATCTAGTACTAAAAAGAACTTTTTTTTATATCAATAAGGAAAAGAAAGTATAATATATCAATTAAAATTCAATTAAAAAACTATTCTGTTTATCATGTTTACGAAATTCATTGTTTCTCATTAAAAAGATATATAAATTTAACAAAGTTAAGCAACTTTAATCAATAAAATGAAACAATGCTTATCAATGGAAATATATTCGTTAAGCAAGAAGATCTAACCAAAAGTCTGTTAATGCGTGTGGAATGCGTAATTTTCCCTTTTGGGATCATTATTCTTCTGTCAGCAGTGCCATTCGTGCATCTGTAGTTATTATTGTATGAATATGGATTTCGATCATATCTGGTCCAGTTCCAATCAATCCAGCCTCAGTTCTGTAGTCCGCACAATTATTTCAATGATGGACGAAGAAAATTTACAAAATAAACAATGTTTGACAAGCTATTTGGAAAGGAATATGACGTTTTTAATGCAATAAATGGATTGAACATTAACTAAAGGCAATTTTCAACACGTTCTTATGAAGTAGCAAATTTATTTTGCCAAAAATTAGAATGTTTTGATGTACGTTCTTGAGTAACAAGTAACGGAAGTGTTAAAAAGTTGTCTGTATGAAATAACATACAATCAATTTGTAAAGTCAATACTTTCTCCTCTTTTCTAAAGAAATAAATTGTTTATGTCTTTGAATTTCTTTTTACTTATAAATGAAAAATTACTGTTTCATCGACTTGGTAAAAAATTGAAAATTGCTGACAATGAAAGCTACTGAAAGCGAGAATTGTGAACACCAGGGCGACTAGTTATGGATTTTGACGGTCTGGCAAAGAGGAGTGACCGACGGGAAAGCGACTTTTTTGCCCCAGTCGCCTGCTAGCATGAGCCCTGCAACCGAATTTAATGTTTTTCCCCAACACATTCTCAAATTTTCAAGGATTGTAGCATCATACAACATAGAATCTTATACACTGTCATTACATTTTTGTATAGCTATAGTAATTATAGTTGTTACAAAACAACAACCAATACATCATGATGAGGATGTAGTAAACTGATATATATATAAAGTTATTGTTTATACTAATGGCCCTTGCCAAACGTCAATCTTCCAGGAATTCTGGTAGGCATATGTTGAAAACAAATAAGGTGGCAAATAAATTACCAATTATAGAAGGGGAATAATTAAATTGCAATAATGATTTTTGGCTGAAATAAATGAGAGTCTACATGTACCATTAAAATATTTTTTCCTTATAGTGGAGAAATGTGGAATTGGCATTTCTTATTCTTGTATCAATTCAGTCTTTGTACAAGAGACTGTTTAACTGCAACCTATATGATTTGTGTCCTAATAAAAGTCTTGTTACTAGTTATGATAGTCTTGGTTTTTAATGGCTAAATTAAATCGTAAGACATTTTCGTAATGAAATGGTTGTACTTTGTTCTTGTATCTAGTTCAAAACATAATCTAAAGCATATATCTGGTGTTTTTTTAGGGATAAGAATATGCAAGAAGGTTCTAACCTTAATGCCATGGTTTGTAAGGTCTCCATTGACTTATCTAAATCTGGTTTGGTCAATCCAGCTAACAATCCATTATCTTCCACACCAATCTCATATATAGCCTCTCCTTCTCCTTCCTCTAACCTCCATTTCATCTGAGTTATTAAATGCTCCAAACGTGATTCAGTAGGATTTACTAATTTTAGCTGTAAAATAATCACCTTATTGCATTACCCCTATGAATAAATTAATGTACATGTAAAAGTAAAAGTATTTATTCTTTTGGTGTATGAATTTTCATTCTTATTCTCCATTTAGAAAAATAAAATACATTTAAATCATAATATACATGTACTATAAAAAAAATTGAGGCAACAGTAATTACCCCCATGTTCAAACCATGAAAAGAAATATCTTAGGCTGCCACCATATATATGTACTGTGATAAATAATGCATACTTATGAGACTTAAATTTGTTTCAGTATGTACATGTATTGCTATTGCAGTGTTGTATTTTGTGTTTCCATACATTGTAATTTGTTTACTGATTAATAACCTCAGCTGTTATCTTTAAATAACACTGAAATTTGTCAGTCTGCACCATCAGCCATCAGTCCTATGACCCGGACTAGTAAAATTCTATTCGGACTAGTAAGTATTTGCAAAACTTTGTTTAGACTCATAAGAAAAATGTTGGAATATTGGTCTTCGGATTAGTAGTTGGAAAAGATTCTGGTACAGACTGATTTGCAGTGATTTTCAAACCCTTTTCATCATTCACATTATTTCATATTTTAAGATGTGATATCATCAACTTATAAAAGGCAATTACCACAGAGAACATTTGCTGAAAAGTTGAAAATGACCTTATAAAGCATATCCACAACTGAATTTTACTTCTTGAATATTTAACAGTAATATAAATACAGACAAAAGGATTTTATCAATTATTCAATAATTTTAAACTCCCTTTCAATTTTCACATATCTTTGGTTTTCCAAATCTTTTGGCTCTTTTGCTCTTAACCTGTAATGGATCTATGCATTTGTATTGATAAGTGTTAAATTAAGCAAAGTAAGCTTATTCTCTTTCTATTTACCACCAATTGTTTGATAATGCTGATGGTGGACTTTTAGACCCTTGCATGTCTTATGTCAATCAATGTTTCACTACTTGACATAATCTATAACACGAATTTTGATAAATTATCAATTCATAATCATTTGTAATTTTTTACCTATATTATGATTCCAAATTTTCTAGATACTAGGTTAACCTTAGATCTATGCTTTAGTCCTTAACTTTAAGAAACTTTTAAATTGATCTGATAGGTTTTATTATAAAGGAAAAAAGCAACATTAATCATTTTAAAGAGATCAAATTTCTATACATAAATACGGAAGTTAACAAGATTAGTTGTCTGTTCAAATAAAGATAAATAACTGTTAAAAGTAATACCTTGTATTCAATGTTTCCTTCTTCAACCTGAAATAGTACAAAACAAATTTTTAAAACAATACTTCAGGAATTAATGTAGGAACTTTTTACTTATGGCAATATATTGTGACCTTTCAATGAATTTCTGACATATCATCTGATATTTTGTTTTGAGAAAATTACCAAGTCAACTACTTTTTTTATGCAAATAATGGTAAATCAGCTAATACACATAAAAATTGTACCAAAAGTAAATTACTAATACACATAAAATTGTACAAAAGTCACAGTAATTGTAACTTAATGTTTACTAAGTTCTTACATTATGACTGCATTTCTGAGTTAATTATGAATATGTTTTGCTTCAAACACTAATACAAACATTTTTTTGGAAAGTATGCTTAGGTTATTTGTTCCTTTGCTCAGTAATACAATCTGGGGCCAGGGGTTTAACTTTTACTATGTGAAACCAGCAAATCAAACCAATTTTGCTATAACTATATATATGGATAAGTAATTTTACTCTTTTGACATATATAAATGTATTTAAATTTGAAATATAAGCTATGTTCAATTATGATCAACAGAGATATAAAAGAAGCAAGTATGTACACATTTGAACTTGCATGTTATTTTTGTACAATACACCTCCAGGCACATTAGTTAACATAATAAAATTTGCCTGCCTAATTACATGTACATGTACATACACATTACACTTGAAGATACATGTAACAATGTAATTATCATGTAATAGTATGCAAACTACATGATCCTACTACTACCATGTGACTTGTAACTTGATAGTTCAAATTTTCAGGAACAAACTTTCCATGCATAATATTTACATTGATTTATAAAAGGTATCAATATAGTTACTTAGAATAAGCTCACAAACTTAATTACTTAATTAATCCTTTAAAAGAAAGTTCAATTATAACCCCTTCTTAATGATTGAAAGGACTTATTATCTTCATATGATCACATGTCTAAGATTTACATAATAATGTTTTCAAGATTCAATAACAGATTGATGACAGACAAAAACGGTGATTAAAGAGGGGGTGTATGAGGGATAGAATTATTCTGACTTCACACAAATTTAATAAATGTCCTGTGCCTAATAGTATATGCATTTTCAGAGAAGAGGATTTACCTTAATTGCAATTAATAACTTAAATCTCATAAAAATTGTTTCAGAAAAGTATGTGTACCAAATACAATGTATTACTAAATTATCAAACTTAGAAAATCTCATTTAATTTGCATATTGTCATATGCATCTAAAGATCAAACTAATCAAGAAGTATAATTAATTTTCAAAATGGACAATTTCAAGATTTTTATTTTTTTTTTTCCGGCCGCTTGTTACGCCCGTCGCATTTTTTACGAATAAAGTTCAATAACTTCTCAATGTCATATCAGAAATTTGTGAAAAACTAAAGGGAGTTATCTTCATTGATATAAACCAGTCACCAAAGTTTAATGAAAACTGCTCAAAGCACTTTAAAGGTTTTGTCCGAAAACTAGAAAATCACCCCCTTTTTATGAATAAAATCCGATAATTCGGAAGTGAAAAATCTAAAATGAATAAAAATTGAAAGGGAGCTTACATCAATAGATATAAACAATTCTCCAAAGTTTTATGAGAACTGCTGAAAGCATTTTTGAGTTATTGTCCGAAAACTAGAAAATCCCCCTTTTTTTTAATGAATAAAACTGCACAACTCGGAAACATTAAATCTAAAATTTATAAAAATCAAAAGGGAGCTCATGTCAATAGATATTAACAATTGACCAAAGTTTCTTGCAAATTGGTGAAAGCATTATTGAGTTATTGTCCGAAAACTGGAAAATCCCCCCTTTTTTAATGAATAAAACCCCATAACTCAGAAACATAAAATCTAAATTTTATAAAAAACAAAAGGGAGCTCACATCAATAGATATGAACAATTTACCAAAGTTTTATGCAAATTGGTTGAAGCGTTTTTGAGTTAATGTCCGACATGTTGACGACAGACGGACAGAGGTATACCATAATACGTCCCGTTAACAGGCGTATTAAAACCTCCAAAAAACCCTTTGACATGTACATTGTAAGCTGTCCTAATATATACATGTATACAAGCCGTTCTCAATAACCTCAATCTGAAAACACAAGTATACCAACCTTTGTGACTTTAATCATTTATATGATTTATTATTATAAAAATATTGATAGATACATGTATGAAAACAAAATTTCAAATAATTTATTGAAATTTTTTTTTCATATCTATCAATATTTTTCATATTATTCTCATACAGGCTCATCATGCTGCAACAATTGTTTGTTTATCTGTTGTGTGTGATTGTACATATTCAAATATGTATGGTACATGTACTTTTTTGCATGCAGTGACCTTTATTGCAATATAAAATAAAATATGAAAGCTTCAAGACAAAAGAGTTACTGCTGCAGAATAACCATGTTACTGATGTTAGAATCTGTGACCATTGACACAGAGAATTTGCTACGCTTTAAAGTCAAAATTTTAAGGGAAGGTATGTGATGTCCAGTAAAACCAGACAAAAAGGATGAGGTGAATTGATTCTGCTTTAATAAGTTGTTTGTTGAAGATCGTACAACTGGCATATGGTGACCTCTGTAGATGCTTTTGATGTTTTCCTATACACGTATAAGGTACTCGAAGATACAAAGCATAATTTGATCTGATTAATGCATAAAATAAGTCACGAAAGAATGCAAAACAAATCAAAAATACAGTTTACTGTTCATAATATTTACAGGCTAAAACGAAACCAAAACAAACCTCTGGTGGCAACGAATTTGACATATCGCTTTCTATTCCGTGGTGATGAGGATCCATATCTTATATCTTCAGTAAGTAAATTAAATGTATAATATGATGAATGTCGACATAACAAGATTTCTATACAGTTATGAAAGATATTGTTCGAAGTTTAATTGGCCACAAAAAGATTTCCTTTTTGTGCGCCATATTGCATCAGCTGTGGCAACAATAATATCAAATCGGTGTCGGGAATTCCCCTTTTACGGATGTATATATATAGGTATAGGAAAAACGTCACATTCCTGTTATATAAGGATGTGATTAAATATATTTATAGATACTCGTACACAGTAAAAAAACCACACTCATAGAACTTTATTATTTTCGAATTCATTCAGAATATTTAAGTAAAGGTGAAAAAATAGAAAACAAAATGAAAGGAAAGTTAATTATCCTTAGCAAGGAATTGTATATACAATTCCTTGTCCTTAGTTACCACACACCCGATCTATTCTTGGACAGGGATTTTGATAGTTATAAAGACTATTCATGAACATTCATAGCCTCTGACTATATAAGACAATTGTCTAAAAATGCATAATTATTATGTGTCTGGTCCCAGTATGATTTTTGTTGCGTTTTTTTTTTTTACATTTTGAAACTGAACTTTAGAATCACTTATTTAATGTTAATTTATTAACATTCTTATCATTTTGTTGAATGCTAATCTGGTCAGTTTTGTATATTCATTAATTATAAGTTAAAGAGGTGAATTTAGTCAGGACATGAAATAATCCATACGCTTGTAATTAAGAAATTAAAGACTCCTCATACGCACAAAATGTATAAGTCGTACGTTATTTTCATTGTATAGTAACATGCTTAATTAATTGTTTGTTGTGTTCAAGGATTTGTATAGTTAGATCTCACTATACAAATCTTTGTTGTGTTAAAATTTTACTTTTATAAATAATGAATCCTCCTTAAAACAGATGATAACATTTAACTTTGATTCGTGATCGGATTTATTACATCGAGTGAAGAAATTCCCGGATGCTATAAATATTAAAAAAATTGATACCATTCTATTAAAACTAATTCTAAATTTTTTTATATATAACTTCAACCAGGCATTGGGAGCCTAGGTAGAAAACATTTTCAAAGAAAAAATGAAATAACGCAAGAGAAGTATCATGACTTGCCTGTACCATGGAAGTATTATATTGACAATATAATACTTCCATGCCTGTACCAAGTCAGGAATATGACTTGTTTTCCATTTGTTTGATGTGTTTGAGCTTTTGATTTTGCCATTTTATAAAGGACTTTCCGTTTTGAATTTTCCTTGGAGTTCGGTATTTTTGTTATTTTACATTTTTCTTAGACCTATTTGCTCACCTATTGTAGGAATGATCCATAGATACTCATACCAATTTTTAGTTTGTGTTGACAATCCAAATTCAAGATAAAATTGAGAATGGAAATGGGGAATGTGTCAAAGAGACAACAACCCGACCAAAGAGCAGAAAACAGATTAAGGCCACCAATGGGTCTTCAAAACAGCGAGAAAATCCCGCACCCGGGGGCGGGCTTCAGCTGGCCCCTAAACAAAAATGTGTACTAGTTTAATGAAAATGGACGTCACACTAAACTCCAAAACATATAAATGAACTAAAATTAAAAAAACATACAAGATTAACAAAGGCCAGAGGCACCTGAATTGGGACAGGCGCATAAATGCGGCGGGGTTAAACATGTTTTGTGAGATCTCAACCCTCCCCTATATCTCTAGCCAATGTAGAATAAATAAACACACAGCAATACGCACAGTAAAACTCAGTTTAAAAGAAGCCAGAGTCCGATGTCAGAATAGGTAACAAAAGAAACTATATCCACTTACATTGGACAAAGTTTCACGTAGAATTAAATACACATAGTTTCTTCTCAGAAACCATCTCCCTTACTTAAAACAAAATCTTGCACTATGTTTGTAGGATGATCCTATACTAATTTGCAATTTGTGTTGTCAAACCGAGAAAAAAAATAATGACCAGGAGTGAGGACTGAACATTGATAAAACCATAGGATTAATACTTATACATCTCCTCAGAAAATCATTCACAAATGCAACTAGAATTTTCCTATATTGATATTGAGTGTTGGTGTCAGAAACAGAGATGGTCATCACTGTGGAACATTATTTACACTGAACTGCGGTCAAGCTTAGCGAAAGGTCGTGCAACATAATCAGTCAAACAAACTTTATTAGATTAACTCGTTAAGGAACGATCGTTTTCATTGGTCAATTTAAACCTTCGACCTCACACCTGCGAAAATAGAACACGCGTACTATAAAGCTGAATGGACTGATCAGTATTCACGTAGCCGGTCAAGGTCGTTAAAAACTTCCATCGTCGTATTCCCGAACATGATTGTGTTCTTGATTATCGCATGGCAATTCTAGCTTTTATACATGTGCATGTAAAATTTTAAACTTTAATCTTAACAGTCACGTCGAAATATTTAATTCAACTGTCTCCTCTCAATTGGTCCTAGATTAAGGGAGCTACCATTTTATTTTGATTGGGGTGAAGGACTTGGATGAAACATTTTGTCCTGCATTTTTTTTAGTTGTTATCTCGGTCCTGACTTTATTTATTCGTTTATCCTGATTTTTTACATAAATCGTCATCCTGCCTTTTTTTTGTCAAGTTGCTCACCCTGCCTTATCTTTTATTCAATGGACTTGACGAATTAACGTTGTACTTGAAATGAAACCGTACTTAACTACAAAAATAACCAAATTACATACTAAAGATATTGCTCGATTTTTATAGTAAATGGGTTTGTGTTATAAACTGTCATGTTCATTATTCATATTCTTTCATAAGTTTTAGGATAGTGTGATTTTTTTTCTGATTTAGTTTACAAGATTTTAAAAAAAAAATCCCGAAATTCTAAGTAAATTCAGAACATGTAACCAGCCATGCTTTGTTTAGAGAAAAAATGGAGATGGCAAACCATGGCACAGTGGAAGGAAATGTACTTTATAAACTCCAGCGATATACTTTCTTAACTTATAATTAACTGTTTTGCTATCCTCGGTTGAAAATTATATATTGTAAATATTTAAATAGTTGCATAGAAAACAACCAGTTTTAAACAGTGTGGTTATTCACTAAATGTATTGATAAAAGGTGACTCCATTTTTGTACATACTTTTACAGTAGTCATCCTTAATTTCTTAATATTTCGTTTATTAGTTTATCATACTTGTATGATTTTGTATTTCATTTTAATACGCACGCATGCCACACGTTACTTTGGCGGATTGTTCAACAATGTTATGCAAAGCTCTATTCTTACGGTATGAAATTAAAGGATAAATTTTTAACCAATCGAAATCGAAAACAGTACATTTATATAGTTCCTTATAAACTACGACATTTCTCACAAGTATTTATTTATTTTTTAGTTCCACACATGCCAAAATAAAATCTTCGCCGATGAAACATTTCAAACCTTTTTACACCAACATGCCTTCACTGAATTCATTTGAATTTCGTGGTGACCATGATAGTACATTGCATAGTACATCTATATTCACGTGCACACATGGTACGATCTTTCGGGGACAATTTGCTCGTTTATGACACGTCATTTCTGAAGACCAAACGCTTAGCTTCTTTATTTTCGTTTTATAGCATGAAAACAATAAAACAGGAATGTGCAACCCATCATAAATTTGAAATGGATCAGTATTATGAGATCCTTATTATAAGTAACTACGACATTGTCAGGATAATAACCTAGCGTCAATATGAAAGAAATTAAAGTGGTTCATACATTCATCCGTATAAAAGCGGCACATGTATTTTATTTTATCCTTATATTTTTCATAGTGCGGTACAAGTGCTGCATGCATAAAGAATATTACTTAACACAAATTATTAGTATAATATTTCGACCCCACTATTTGAAATTCACAAAATACTTATTTAATTATTTCGACCAAAAATCATTGTTTTTTACGTTCGTAGTAACGTAGTACATTCCATTGTCGGTCACCTGTGTCAATTCACGTGCACACAACAATTGTTGTTGTATTTAAATCTTTCGGCCAATGAAGTGAGACGTTACAAGTTGTTTGTTTGTGATACGCCAGAATGTTATCAATGAATTATCAATCGCTAAACTTGACTGCATTTCAGTGTAACATAACATCATGTTGGAAATCCATGGAAATAGCTTATCCTCAAAAACATTTTAAAACATTGTAACCAACTTTAAAACTAATGATAATATGCTGATTTTCAGTTTTTGCTACTAGTCTGAATTCCAGGATGGCTGTTATTGTGGATTACAGTTTCAGACAGAACCCTAAGAGAAAGCCTTTAGTCAGAAAAATGTGACGGGGATACCAAAAGAGGGGTGGAAAGGGGGGTACCTTTCTCCTTTCTCTCGCCCCCTCTCTCCTTTCTCCCGCCCCCTCTCTCCTTTCTCCCGCCCCTGTGCTTCCATCTCCCACCTTAACAACCGTCTTTTTTCAGATCAATCGATTTTAATACAAATTTGAATTAATACATGACCATATATAGGTGGCATAGGTCTTTATTAAAGCATATACTGATTTTACGAACAAGGCCTGCCTCCGACTCGTACGCAAATTAATACACAATGTTGGAATGTTGTCAATGGTGCATTGTGCATGCCCCAATGTCAAGAAACTCATTTTTGATATGTATGGTCATATATGAGGATCATGAAATTAGACATAGTTTTTTATTGTGTCATCTCTATTTTCCCCTGTCCTGTAATATTGTTTAGAGGAAGGAGTGTATCTCTCTGACATTGTCAGCATCCCTTCTTTTTAAATTTGTAGAAGATCGCCAAATACTTGGAGGAAACAGATCCCCACATGTGAAGGCATAAGACAAGAAAACTAATGAACCTGTGTACATATATCTGGCCTTAAATATTTGTCTAAGTTTTGCTATAAAATATAATATAATATGTACAGAATTAATAGAAATCCATTAAGTGTCTTGGTTTTTTAACAGTTCTCCCACGTCTGACACGTCTCGTCCTTTCACAGCTCAATACAGTCAGTACAATTTCCTCTTCCTCAAACGTCTCGCTAACTTTTTCATTGATCATCATTGTATCAGTTTGAAGAGAGCTGGTCAGCCTATTGTAAATTTCCTCATCTAATGTATATACAA